TACGTTTCAAGTCTTATACATACTTGCTCCTCATGTAGTTGTGTCCTATTTGTCCTGATATGTCTTCTATGGCAACCAGAGCGTGATTAAACATCTAAAGAAAGGAGAAGGACTCAGCAATAACTGGATAGAAAATGGTTGTGTAGGTGAAACGAGAGTTTTTTTCGTTTTAGATTTACCTTGTTTGTCAATTTCTCTAGGAGCGAAACCTCAGTCACTGCAGCTCTCTTTACTTTAAGCCACATGACCAGAGGTTTCATTGTTATTCCCTGCAACAATGTCAAGCAGGAATGCAATAGTGTTAGGGGGGGGTGGTAAGTTCATAAGCTTTAACAGAGACCGGGTAGAGGACAGGGTTCTCTGTATCTTAGCTGTTCCTAGGACTACTTTGTTTTGGAGAGAGACCTCTGATGTTGTGCCTGGAATTTGTTTGGGAGTGACAGCTCCTAATGCTTTTATTGGTGATTTTTATTGGTACTTCTTTACTTTCATGTCAGAAGGGGCCCAGAGGCCAGTACAAGGAAGTGGACCCAAGGGCAGACACAAAAACAAACAGCAATAAGGTTTTACAGGCTTTACTGTAAACACAGAGATGAGAAATGACAAGATGTGGGTTCATGTGAGAGCACTATAGTTAGACCTGTAAGTAATACCTGTAATACAAGGGCGTGAGAGCAATATTGATTCTGTGGGCTTACTTGCAGGCCATTCCAAGGAATAGATTTCAGAGAGGTGCAGAGAATCTTGCCATGGAGGCCAACGTCCAGGTAACTGAGCTGCATGTAAGCTGCAAGCTCCTCTTTTCATTGCTCATTGAGCCTCCAGAAACTGGACTTTGGTTCAGCGGTCTTATTATCACTATGCTATACTATATCACTATACTACTATACTCTGTATCTCACTGTACAACTGTATAGTGACAATAAAGGCATTCTATTCTATTCTATTCTATTCTATTCTACTGACCTACATTAGGTACATTAAACTTTGAAGAGTGACTCCAGCAGATTCCAGACACAACATCAAATGTCCAAAGGATTGCAGTCCCAGGAACAGCTAAACTACTGCCAGAAGCCTTTTTTTTTCTTCAAAAAAGATAGTTAACTAATTAAGAAAAAGTGACAAATTCACCTGCAAGATGACAGTGAAGTAAACCACAATGAGTGTAGTGCAGACCATCAGGTTTTTCTCTTTTATCTTATTCTCATCCAGCATCACAGCCAGGCCATATGCAACAGCTCCTCGTAGGCCACCGTAGCTCATAATCACCTGATCTACAAACTCCAAGGGCACCAGCCTGTACCTGTTGAGGATCCAGGTGAGGAAAAACACACCTGCAGTACGAACACAAACACACTTACAAACACACAGTCTTATATGAAGACTCACAAAATATCTTCAAATGAATCTTCATGAGTTTTGAATGCATTTTAGTGTTTCAGTCTATCTAAATGTATTTGCATAACAAACAAACTTTTTACATCACAGTGATGCTTTGACACAAAACTGAGCCCAAAAAGATAAAATCTCACCAATGAATCTATACACCAAGACGAAGAGGAGCGTGAGTAGGATGAAGCCCGTGTTCCAAACCCAGATAACCTTATCGATGGCCGAGATGCCGAGGAAAACAAAGATGATGGTTTCTGATCCGTTGGCAAAAGCCTTCATGGCGTATCTGACTGTTTGGACCGAATTCTCATCCATGTTTGCGTTGATGTACTTCTGACAGCACATTCCACAGAAGACAATCCTACAGAAAGGAAACACAAAAGTAGACTTCCATCTAAATATGTTCACAAAATATGCAAAATAGATGCAGAAATAATAAAACAAATTCAGTTGTAAAACACTCACGAAAGGATAGCAGACAGCGAAAGCATCTCGGCAGTCAGGTAGGAAAGATATCCCAAAACAAAGATGAAGCCTGGTTCGATGATCTGGATGTTTTTTGTGCATCTGGTCAGAAGTGAAATTAGTAGGCCAAAAACAAGGCC